GTGTGTGTGTGTGTGTGTGTGTGTGTGTGTGTGTGTGTGTGTGTGATTTCGAGAAACACACTGTGTAGCCCAGGATGGCCTCAAACCCGAATTTCTCCGGCCTCAGCTCCCAACATTCCTAGCTTTAACATCCCCTTGCCCCCGCATGGTTCTCATCTCTACCCTGTGCTCTGCAGCATCCCTTGTTCCTGGCTTCAGGATCATCAAAAAACAGCTGCTGAGTGAATCGAGCAGTTGCTGGACTCTGCCAGAGCCACAGATGTCCTGAAGCCAACCGACAGATGACTTCTAGTGACTTCCCCATGGTCAAAGACATAGAGTCAATCCAACCAATCCAGTGTCTTCCAGAAAATCCCACCATGATTCACTGTGTTACTTGTCCAAAGTGATGCCACTTGATATGACAGTTATGGTATTATTAGTAATTAATTAATGTGCTGGGAATTGGACCTAGGACTTTACACATGCTAGGTAGGTGCTCTACCACTGAACTACATCCCTGCCCCTTTTTAGTTTTAAAAAATGAGAGGTTTTTTTTTAGTAATTAAGTTTGTTCTTTGACAATGTCACTCACGTATACTAACCACTCACCTTCCCTACCAGCTACTGCCCGTCTCCCCACAAACCTCTTTTCTCACATGTCTCTTCATCCTGTCTTATGACCCAGCAAGTTTAACCAGGCTGTCTGTGGAACCGGGGGCTTTGGAGTTATCTGTTAGACCCTGGTGGACTCAGAAGTGGATAAACAGCTAAAGTCAGTGACAACCCCTTTCCCGGACTCTACTAACCGTCAGTAGTTCAACAGTAAGTGGTGGTGTCTGGTGAGCGCCTCCCTGTTCTCTGACTGACTGTTGACAGGGCCGGTCTTGTGCAGGCCCAGGGCAGGTAATGGCGATGTGAATTCCTGCTTGCAATGCCTGTGTCAGCCGAGGGGACATGTCTAGACGTACAGCTCTGCTCCTATCTCTGGCTTACATACTTCCCTCTTCTACGTATTTCCCTGGGCCTTGAGGGACTATCGAAACATGTCGCTTGGGTCTGAGCCCTCAGCTGTCACTTACTCTGCATCTTGGGCAGCTGCATCTCTGCATTCACCACTATTCATGGGTCTAGATCACAATTTCTAAACAATTATTTTTTAAGTAAATAATTATCTTCTTTTTCTTTTTTTCCCCCAGGGCACACACTCTATACCTAGCCTCTTTAATTTTTGTTTCATTTACTTGATAAATTATCCAACCTGGACTTGAACTCACTGTCCAGCCCAGGCAGGCCCTAAACTTGTGACTCACCTGCCTCAGCATCCTAAGTAACACATAGTTGTGTGCCACTTTTGAGCACGGTGTTTAGAAACACAAATGATGACCCAAGGATACAACCCACTGGTCGACTGCTTGCTTGGTGTGCTCAACACTCTGGGTTCAGACCCCAGAACTGGGGAAAACGAATCCCAAGTACAAAATATACAAAGCACACAGGAGTGGGCTGTGCAGCTTGAGTGTTAATGAGGTGGGCAGGGAAGAGGCACAGTGAGTCCA